ACAGGCGGTCTGCAGGCGAGCCGCCGCCTCGTTGCCACACTGTGTGGACGGCCCCCCCCCCCGCGTCCCGCCCCACCTCGCCTCCGCCCCCGGCGCGCCTTCCACTGCCCCGGCCTCGCCGAGGCGCCGCGCCCACGCACCGCGTACTCTCCCCTGATATACCCTGCCGCTCGGCTCTCTCTCTGGTCTCCCACTCGGGGACCCTCCCTCACAGTGACTGCACCAGTTCGGTACCTACCCTTCGTCGGCTCCCCCGCGGTTCCCGCCGGGACTCGCGCGGACCCGCTGCCACCCGGTCTCCTGGCCGCGCTTCCCCCCCCGCCCTGGAGCCCGGGCTGGTCTTGCCGCCTGCGCTCCCACCCCCCGCCTTGCCTGGCCCCCAGGCCCCGCAAGCTCCTTCCCAGGGGAGCGGCCTCGCACTGGTTTACTTCCACTCCACCTGCTGTATCATCAGCCCTGCTGCCGCCAGCCCCCCCCACCGCCGCCGCCGCCGCCGCAACACCCCTGGGCTGCTCTGAGCGGGCCTCCTTGTCTCCCTCCTGGGCCGGCGCCTCTCGTTCTCCCTTCTCCCTCTGCATGGTGGCTGAATTCGGCTGACGCACCCCGTCTTGCTCAACTCGCCAGCGCAGTCCCTCTGCCTAGCCGCCGACGCAAAAAGAGTGTGCACGCCCTCCTGGCCGAAGCCAGGAGTGTCTAAGCACCGCCCTGTGGCCTTGGATGGCCCTGCTCAGGCATGGTGGACGTGCATAGCTGTTTTTTGTAAATTTGGGGGCGGCGGGCAGCTAATGAGGAGTGGGGGGCAGGGAGGTGCGGAGGGAGGGATGGGAGAAGGAGGTAGGGAGAAGTGAGGAGGGGATAGGCGGGAGCGAGGAGGAGGAAGGGAGCCAGGCCAGATGCCAGAGTTGCCGTATTATCCGCTCGATCGGGGCAGCCAGGTCCCAGACTGTTGCATCCCATGTGGCTGGGCCCAGCCCCAGATTTGGGACTGTCGCCTCGCTGGGCAAGCGCGTCGGCAGCGCGGAGAGCACGCCCTGGGGCGGGCTCTCTGGACCTGGGGCCAGCAGTTCCAGCTCCAGACCCTCCTTCAGACCCTCCTCCAAACCCACTCCCGACCCTCCTCCTCCTCCTCCTCCTCCTCCTCCTCCTCCTCCTCATCATCATCAGCAGCAGCAGCAGCAGCAGCAGCCTCCTCCTCCTCCTCCTCCTCCTCCTCCTCCTCCTCCTCTTCCTCCTCCTCCTCCTCCTCCTCCTCCTCCTCCTCCTCCTCCTCCTCCTCCTCTCGTATAATGTTTTATTTCACGCGGGTCTTCAGCGTTGGTGTTGTGCTTCATGCGGCTGTTATGCAGATCCGCAGTTGTGTAAGCTTAGAAGTGGATGTGCCTTTGTTGTTTTTGGTAATCGTACCGATTATCTCAATAAGATCAGCCACGGCAGTTGGCCAAAGGTTCTCAGTGAAGCAGAACGAGCCAAGAGGTCGAGGCAAGAAGCAGCAGCTGAGGAATAGCTGCTTCCATAGTAACCGACACTGTCGCCATACCCATAGCTCCGTAGCTCCTCCTCCTCCTCCTCCTCCTCCTCCTCCTCCTCCTCCTCCTCTCCTCCTCCTCCTCCTCCTCCTCCTCCTCCTCCTCCTCCTCCTCCTCCTCCTCCTCTTCCTCCTTTTCAACGGCGGGGGTCTCAAGGGTGTCCGCGACTCGGTTGCGGTCGGCTGCGTCGCAGTCGGTCCGGTTCGGTCGGTTGTTGCGTCGCTTCGCTGTTCCAGGTTGCACTGGGCCCGTCAATCCTGGTCACACTCGAGTTTGCCTTCGGTTCGGTCGGTGTTCGGTTTTGCGGTCGCCGTGGACGGGGTCTGAAGGGTGACTGCCATCGGGGAGGTGCTCCCAGGCAGAAGCGTGCTCGATCGGTGCAGGCACGAGCCCTCGACAGACTGACATCGAAGGCACCCAAGACGGTCAAGAATGTGATTGAGAAACCTCCTCCCGAAAAGTTGGGCCGGCGTTCCTTGGCCAATTTGCTGGAAGGCTGGCCCAGTTTCTTCAGCACGTTCGCCCAGCCGGCGTTCACCGCAGAGTTTGGGCCAGGCGTGTATCAAGAAATGTCTTGGAAGCTGGCCAAGACTCCTTTACTGATGATGTTCTCGCTCATATGTCCTGCTCTAACATAACATCCTCAAGTGAGGCTGCCGCACGCCTGTGCGCGGCCCAGCTGCAGGGCCTCGTGGTGGTTGCGCTGCCTGTCGGGGGCCTGCCTCGAGGACCTGCGGCCGTCGGGGTGGCCTTTCTGGAGTCTTGGGGGCCACCTCGGGGGCTCTTTGGGGTCGTGGGGCTATTCAGAGGCCAGTTTGGGGGCCGTCCTGCGGCCGTCTTTCGGCGGCGAGCGAGGCGGGGAAAGGGAAAAAAAGAAAGCCTTCCCAGAAGGCGGCGGGCTTTCCCCAGGGGGCCTCGCGCCTTCTGCCGGGCGTTCTCGGGGTGTTTCTTCGGGGAAGGCCCAACAAAGCTGCGCAGCAGGCCCCGGGGGACTGCCGAGCCGTCTGAGAAGGCCCGCCCCGTCTTGGGAGGAGGAGGAGCAGGAGGAGGAGGGGGAGGGGGAGGGGGAGATGGAGGAGGAGGAGGAGGGGGAGGGGGAGAGGGAGATGAAGGAGGAGGAGGAGGAGGAAGAGGAGGAGGAGGAGGGAGGAGGAGGAGGAGGAGGAGGGGGAGGGGGAGGGGGAGGGGGAGGGGGAGGGGGAGGGGGAGCTCTAGCCTTCTCACTTCCCCCCCGAGCTCGCCGCCGAGTCGTGGGGCGGTCTAGGGCCGTGCATGGCCGTCCTCGGCACGCGGGCTTGGACCGTCCCAGGGCCTCCCCGGGGGCTCTTCGGGGAGGGCCTCCCGGGCAGCGAGATGGCAGTATCGCGGGTCAGTGCAGCACCCGGTGGTCGCGCCATGGGCAGCTGCAAAGTCCGTGTGCCAACAGAGATTGTATCAAGGACGACGAGGAGATGGCAGTATCCAGGGCGACGGTATCAGAGCGCACTGCGGTGTGGCAGCGCTTGTGCCAAAGGCCACTTCGAGGCAGCCGTGTGGCCATTTCGGCTCATGCCAGTTTGGCTCGGACATCTGCACTGTCCACTGCCCACTCGAGTCGAGAAAGCTCACCGTCCGCAGGGGGTCGATGGCGCAGCGGGTGGGCCGAATTGCCGGCCACCTTACAGCGGGCGCTTGTGCCGCAAGAGGCGTCGACAAGGATTGGGACATGTCGAAGCGTCAAGCCGGCAGCGCAGAGGAAAAAGGCCGCATCGGAACGGGCAGCATCTGGCATCCAGACTCCCAAGTGCTCGGCGGGACCGAGTCGCTCAAAGGCAAGACGCTCTTCATCACAGGCGGCTCCAGGGGAATCGGCTTCGCCATGGCACGCCGCGCCGCCAGGGATGGCGCCAATGTCGCCATTGCTGCTAAGACCGAGGCGGAACACCCGACATTGCCAGGAACCATCTACAGCGCGGCAGAAGAAGTTCGTCGACTGGGCGGCCAGGCACTGCCGGTCATCGTTGACGTGAGGGACGAGGAGTCCATCGCAAGGGGAGTGGCCGAGACAGTGAGGACCTTCGGAGGGATTGACATCCTGGTGAACTGTGCCAGCGCCATTTTCCCGGCGCCCACTGAGCGCATCGACCTCAAGCGCTTGGACCTCATGTGGCAAATCACCACGCGGGCGCCCTTGCTCACGGCCAAGCACTGCGTGCCGCACCTCAAGAGGAGTGCCAAGGAAGGTCGTCACCCCCACATCCGAAAGAGCGTGTTCTACCGCTGCTGGCGGAAAACTTGGAGGGGTCACTGGGGGTTCCCAACCCGTCCACCTCCCCCCCCACCCCCTCGAAAACTGGGGCACCCCCTCGAAAACTGGGGGTGGTCACTACGCTCTGGTTCGACCCCCCCCTCCCTCCAGTCCATCATGAAAGGGGGGGGGGTCACTACCGGTTCGACCCCCCCCCATCGCCGCCGGCAAACGATTCCCGCTCCTCGGGACAGCTGGACAGTGGTGGGGACAGTGGGACAGTGGTGGGGACGGTGGTGGTGGGGACAGTGGCGTGGGGACAGTGGGACAGTGGTGCGGACAGTGGGACAGTGGTGGGGACGGTGGTGGTGGGGACAGTGGTGAGGGGACAGCGGGACAGTGGTGGGAACAGTGGGGACAATGGGACAGCGGTGGGGACGGTAGTGGCGGGGACAGTGGTGAAGGCGGTGGTGAGGACGGTGGTGAGACAGTAGTACAGTGGGGAGAGTGGTGGGGACAGTGGGGACAGTGGGACAGTGGTGGGGACAGTTTGGCAGCACAGTGGGACAGCGGCGGGGACAGTGGGGACAGTGGGACAGTTGGACTGGTGGGGACCGTGGGGAAAGTGGGGAGAGTGGGACCGTGGTGGGAACAGTGGTGGGGACAGTGGGGACAGTGCGACAGTGGTGGGCGCACTGGTGGGGATAGTGGGGACGGTGGTGGGAACAGTGGGGACAGTGGGTGGTGGGGACTGGTGCTGGGGACAGCAGTGGGGGATGTGGTGCGGACGGTGGTGGGGACCCAGGAGTCGTTTGCCGGCGGTGAGTATGGGAGGGGGGGGGGGGGGGGTGGGAGGGGGGGGGGTTCGAACCGGTACCCCCTTCCGGTTTTCTGGAGGGTGGGGGGGGGTTCGAACCGGTAGTGACCCCTCGGTTTTTTGAAGGGGGGGGGGGGGGGGGGTCGAACCGGTAGTGACCCCACCCCCCCGGTTTTCCGGATGGGGGGGGAGGGGTTAGGGGGGTGGGTGGGGGGGTTTTGCCGGGGGGAAGGGGGGAGGGGGGGTGGGGGGGGGGGCAGGGGGGGGGGATTTTTTCGAAAGGGGGGGCGGGACCCCGGTGTTCCGGACGAAGAGGGGGTGGAGTTTCCACAGTAAAGCGGCGGTGGATCGTGTTCTCTCCTACATCTTGACTTGCTCGCCGCCTGTGAATTTCTACGGAGATTGGCCTCAGCCCTCCAACCCGAACTACATGGTCTGCAAGATGGGCATGACCACTGGAGCAATGGCGATGGCCAACGAGCTCCGAGCTTTCGGTGTTGCGGCCAACACTCTCTGGCCAGCAACGGCCATTGCCACCTCCGCCGTGAACCATTTAGCAGGGAACGATCCCAAGATCATTGACGAAATGTACATGGCGAGTGGCCGCACGCCCGAGATTCAAGCGGACGCTGCCTACGCCATGTTCACGAGCAAGAGCTCAGGCTTCAGTGGAAATCAGTGCATCGACGAGGACGTTGTGGTTCGAGCAGGCTGCAAAGATCTCAGCACTTACGACTACTCCCGCTCGGGCGCTACGCGTGAAGACAGACTAAGGAACATCATCCGCTTGTAAGACAGTTCCGAGGTCGAGACGGGCATTACGTTTCTAGTATCAGATGTTCCACCGCAAACGTGCTTGGCCGATTGCTCGACGCGCAGACAGATTGTATCTGGTTGTGCTGCCGCGCGTATCCACCCGGGGAGGAGGAGGGCTCTTGATGGTGTACGGTTGCTTGGGCGACTCTCGAACGTTCTGAGGTTTTTGGAGGGGCCTCTCCGTGAACTGCTGATCGCGGCCTGTGCGTGCAGGGCCCGCAGGTTAGGTGCGCCGCTTGACGTGGTTGTCGCTAATTGCCCGCCCTTTCGAAGTGTCCAATCCAATCCCCCCCCATCCTTCCCCATCCTCCCCCTGCCCCCTTCTCTGTGTAGGCCTCCCAGATGGGGTCGGAGTCGATGGGGTCGGAGGATGGCGCCGCATCGCCGATGCATCGGGGATGCGGCTCAATGCGGAGCCCGATTCTCTCCACGCCGATGTTTCGCCGACGTCGCCGATGCATCGCCGATGCATCGGCGATATATCGCTGATGCATCGCCGATGCGGCGCGATCCTCCGACCCCATCTAGGAGGCCCCTTTCTCTGCCTTCTTCCCCCAGGGGGGGGGCAGAAGGGCGGGAGGGTATCAGCGGGGACGCTCCACCAGAAGCTGGTCTCCACTGCTGCCCCCTCTTCCCGCGAGAGGACGCGGCACGCAGGGACCTTACGTAGCCAGCGGGCGCATGTCAGGACCGATGCGGCGCGGGATCCCAGAGCCCTTCTCGCGCAGGCAGGCGGGGCCAGGGGAGGAGGCCGAGGAGCCCGAAAACGCACCCACACCGCTGCGGGAGCGCGGGGGCGCACCGCAGGACGGCTGTGGCGAGGGCAGGCGTGCACGCGTGCAGCCGCAGGGTGCCTGTGCGAAGCGTGGCTGTCTGGAGGGGGGGGCGTGTGCGCCGAGCAGTTTCTTCGGGTGGAGGGCAAAGGGGTGGAATCTGAAATGCCGTGTCGATTGATTTTCTTGGCCTGAATCTGCAGGAGGTGAATCGCAAGACGGCCTGATTTTCGAGCGCAAAGGCCCATCTGGATTTCACCCTGAGCCCTCCACCCTGAGACGATACTCAGGCAATGACCTCCTTCTCGTGCCTGTGCCTAGCCGTCTCGTCCTCTCTTCGGGCCCCTTCCGTCCCCCCCTCGGCCTGCCACCTCGCTGTGAGAGTCCCGGCGCCCTGCGCATGCCGGACAGCCCATCCAGACACAAGCCCCAAGCGGTTGGACCTGATCAGGCAAGTGCAGGAGCAGGCACTGGAAGAGAAAGGGGGGGGGAGCCGTCAAACCGAGGCTCGGGATCAGCCTGCCCAGAGCCAGGAGTCAGCCACGAACGCCTTCGCGGACCTCTCGACGTGGAGGGGCCTCTTCGACTCTCCTCCTGGGGCAGTGCTTGGGCCTTCCCGAGCCCATGGTGGCAGTCTCTGTGCGCTCTCTTGGGAGCCATGTGGGGGCTCTCCTGGGCCCTCCTCCTCCTCCTCCTCCTCCTCCTCCTCCTCCTCCTCCTCCTCCTCGTGCGCTCTCTTGTGAGCCATGTGGGGGCTCTCCTGGGCCCCTCTTGTAGCCATTTCAGGCCCTTTCAGGGGGATCGGTCAGAAAGGGGAGCGGGCAGAAGTATCGCCCCGCCGGAGCACCATCACGGAGTGGGGCCCTCCGGGAGCGCTCTGGGGGCGCTCTTGGGCGCTCTATGGGGCCGCCCTGGAGCTCTTCCGAGCCCCTCTGGGCGATCTTGAGGCCACCTCGAGTCTTCAGAAACCCATCGGAAGAGAACAGCCGAGAAGAGAAAAACACTTCAAACACAAGTTTAGTTGTGCGAAAGATTTGGGCATCTCGGTAGTATCCTTGGGAGGCTCTGAGGCCACTTGGAGCAGTCTCTGGGCCGTCTTGGGATCTCTTGAAGGAGGCCATCTTGAGCCAACTTGGACCATAGCGCGCCATCTTGGAGGCAATCTTACGGCGTCCAGGGCCATACTGGAGCCATCTTGCCACGAACACAGCCCAAGGATACTCCCAGACAGGACAACACCACTCAACAAGCATAGGGTGCGCAATGGTTCTTGCGTTGAGCGAATGAGCGCCCCGAGGCGGAACGAAGGGAGGAGGACGGGGAGCACGGGGAAGCAAGTGAGGAGCTCCCATGAGGGCCTCGTAGCGGGACTGGTGTAGCTCGCACAGGAAGCCGCAGCGTGTGATTGTTTTGCGGGATGCTTGTGGAAGGCGACCCCCAGAAGAAGTGAGAGTTTGCGACGATCGTGGAATTTAGATCTAGTGGACCAGTCTTGGATGCACATGAGGGGCTCCCAGGGGTGCTTTTCAGGGACCTCTTGGGGGCATCTAAGGGGCTTCTTCGGGGCCCCATGGGAGCTTCTTCCGGGCCTCGCGGGGGCTCTTAGGACCATCTTTGGGGGAAAGGCTCGAAATGTCAGTAAGTGTTCCCGCCCTGTGGCGCCTGTCAGGGCTCTCTGGGGTCTCCCCTGGGCAGTCTTACGGGGCCCAAGGGGCCACCTTTGGGCCCTCTGGGGCCATCTCGGGAGCAGTTTGGGCCGTCGTGGACGCTGAGATGACGCAGAAGAGGAATATGTGAAAAATGCGCGCCTATATTGATTTGGGCGATTCTTGCCTCGTGGGGCCTTCTCAGCAGCCATCTGGGAGTTCTCAAGGCGTTTGCTGGGCTTCGTGAGTCGTCTCGCAGGCATCTTGGACCGTCGTAGGGCTACTCTCGGCCGTCTCGACGCTCTCTTGGACTATCTTGGCGCGCTGTTTGGGCTTGGGCTCTTTGGGGCCGTCTGCAGAGTTTCTGGAGGCTCCGGAGGCCCCGGAGGAGCTCGTGCACCCCACCCCTCTTGAGCAACATGTCGGACCCCGGGCAAGGGAAACGGCATGGGGGACGGCCAAATGTCTCACACGCCTTCTCGCCCCCCGGCAAGCGGGGTCGAGCGGCCGCTGACAAGTGACGCCAGCCGTGGCTACAGCGCGTGATCGGCTCCTCGGCTTCGGTTGCGCTGCATCCCATAGATTTTGCCCGACCATCGGGCGCCGCCTCCATGCCTGGTCGTTCCCTCGCCCTCCCAACCTGGCGGAACGATGATCCCTGCTGAAGGTATGTCTCCGACAAATGCGGCCGAGCTTGAGATGGGCTGTTCTGAAAACGCGTTCGGGATGTTGGACCACCAGCTGCGGAAAGCACGTCTCGCCGCATGCTGAGATTGCACTTTTGAGTGCGAGGACCGATGCGAAATCTCGCATCACCTCCAGTGTATGCCGGTCACGTCGCCCTCAGCTGGTCGCGGCTCGTCTGTCTAGGGATCCTCTGCTTTGGCTTGGCCCTGGGGGTCCCGCGGAGTACGGCACTGAGGTTTGCGAAATCTTTCGCCCCCAGGCTGTTGCGGCCATGGCACTCGGTTTTCACATTCATCATACATCGAATCCGCTACGCGTGTATCAAGTGCCGCACGGCTTCCGCTCCAGGCGTAAGTGGCGCCAGGACTCGATCTCAGTCTACGTCGACTCCTCCTCCTCCACCTCCTCCTCCTCCTCCTCCTCCGCCTCCTCCTCCTCCTCCTCCTCCTTCATCCTCCTCGTCCTCCTCTTCAAGTACCGACTCGAGGCCTGTCCGTGGGCTTACGCCATTCCGCCGGGCCCCAGAAAAGGCGGGGAGTCCACGGTTGAGGTTTGCTGGGCAGTGTCTGTGGAGTTTTGTGGGCGTTCTGGGAGTTGTTTGGGGGCCTGGCGGGGTTGTTCCCTCCTCCCTACTCCTTCCTCCCCCCTCCTCGTTCTTTCCCTCCCCTCGCCTTTTTCGCGACCCGCAGGAGGAGGCACGGACAGCCGCCGCCGCCGCTGCCAGCGGCGACGACGACGAGGCACCGGGTCCCGCCCGCCTGCTGGCCCTCCAACCGCGTTCGGGCCGGGAAGAGAGCAGACAAGGAAAAGGATGATGAAGACGGTAGGAGGAGGACGAGGAGGAGGAGGAGACGCGATGGGAGGCGGAGGAGGAGGACGACGAGGAGGAGGACAAGGAGGAGGAGGACGAGGAGGGGTCTCGACAGGAGGTACGCAGCATGTCACAGCTGCGCCAGGGAACGCTACAGCAGCCTACGGCAACATTCTCGCAGCGCTACCTGCACCTCCTGTCACCAAGGGGGGGGTCGTAAAGTTCTGAATGCAAATGAGGGGGTCCTAGCACAGGTCACCATGGCGGCCATGAAGGAGAACTGCCAAGTTGCCCGCAATGGCTTATCTGTAAGAGGAGGGTGGGCGCACCGTTTCACCAGGACCTGACAGAAGGAGGAGCACACGTTTGTAGTTTAACGGGATGATAGGGGACAGGAACTCATCGAGCCACATGATCATGGATATTCCGTCGGACAGGTGGGCGAAATTATTGGGAGGAGCGCGAGGAGTTGCAAAACAACATGTCCTTTGTTGGCTTCGTCGTCCGCGTGCAGCAGCGCTGGCTCAACTGGATGAGCGGTTTCGTCCTGACCTCACCGTATTTGGCCTTCAGCCGGACACGCGATACTTCAAGGAGCATGCAGGTTTGGGAATTGGCCCGTGGAATCCCAGACACTGGCGTCCACCACTCACCATCAGAGCATGGCGCGAGCAGCTTCTCGAGTTTTGAGTCGGCGTGGAAAAATGACTTATGTGGGCTATGCAATCCCTTACCCGCGTCATTGCCTTGACCCCGAAGCGCCCACCACGAGGAGATCGACCGATTACATTCACTCCAGGTCCATATCGGAATCGGAGCGTCATGAGGGAAGCAACCTGCGCAAGCTTGGGAGCGGAGCAGCCCCTTAAGAGCAGTAGCTCAACGGCAACTACAAGCCAAAACGTGCGGTTCAATATCAGTTGGGTGGATGATGTAAAGTTCTACGGCCTTATACAACCAGAGCGATTCACTATTTCAGCGATGGGCCTCGGCGACCCTCTCGCCCTTTCTTATGTGGCCATGTCGCAGTACATGACGGAGCAGCAGCGGTCGGCAGCCTTCTCTCAGCGACTATAAATGCAGAGCCCTCCATCATCGTAGGTTGCATACTGAGCGCAGCCTGGCCCAGAGCGCATGTGAAGGACATGCCAGGCAACATCCATCGTAGCCACCCTCCTCTGGAGAATTCAACTGGCAGCCGGATTAGCAGCCCCGCCTAGTTCAGCATTGGACTTGCAGCCGGAGCTGTAGGCCAGGCCAGGCTACTACAGTCGCGCTCAGTCTCACTACCAGCGCGCCCAGCAGTTCGGGCGGCGTTAAAGAAAGAGATTGGCGAATTGGGTTCGCCGTTCACAGTGGACTTGCATGCTTGTGACTTCAGAGTGGACCATGCCACTGCCACGAGGACTCAAGGGATTGCCAACATCAGATTGCAAAAAGCCATCAGGAGGGCTTTAGGAATCAAGATCCTGGGCAAAACTGTTCAGGCGGCCAGAAAATGCTGGCCAAGACTGGCCACGCGCCGCAGGTGCCCTGGAGAGCCGCGGCCATGGGTCTCGCCCCCCGCGACGTCGCAAAAAAAGGGGGCCCAGGTTTTCAGCACGCGCGGCAGCATGTGAGCTGGGGGCTGTGCAACCACTGCCAGTAGGATCAGCTTTGGCAAACGCAGTGGTTCTCTTGTTTGGTACCTGATGGGGCTCCTGCAGGAGCGGCGGGACCCCCCCCCAGAATGTCCTGGGCGGCGCAGCGCCATCGAGAGCATCGGCGGCTGCAGGTCAAGGGCCACCCGCCGGCCGCCCAGGCCGCCCTACTCGGCGCGCTGACAACCCAACTCCCCCAGGGAATAAGCCATGCCAGACGGCGCAGCATTCGGTGTGCGCGCGGGGGCGGGGGGGGGTCGAGGACCGAGATCGCCCTGGGTTCGATGCGGGGCCCTCCCTCGAGCAGAACGCGCGGCACAAGCCGGCGAACATTGTCGGGGTTCTGGGGCTGCGTTCGAGGCCGATTCAAGTGCGACCCGGGCCCGTCTGAAATTTGGTGGACGCAGGCGCGAAGATGACAACGCGTTGGACACCGCTGCATGCCCGAGGTGCGCAGCGCCAAGGGAAGCATTTTACCGTCGACTTCGGGGGTGCCCCAGCAGCGGGGGCGCCCCCGAACTAGAAGACGAAGGGCGGTTGTGCGAGTGAGCGAGGGTAGGAGCTGGCACATGCCCTCGCTCCAGGCAAAACGCCCGCTCTTTGGGCCGCGCCCCATAAGGACACCCCTCTGCCAGTAGAGAGTGCACTTCTTGAAGGGGGGGCGTGGTCGGCGCCAGCGAACCCCTGCAGCACGTCGACCAGGCGGCGTCCGAGCAGGCGGCGCGGATCACCTGCGCCGTGGACCGCGTCGCGGGCCTCTCCGAAGCCGCGCCCCCCAGGCGCGCCGACTGGCCCGATGCGCCCCCCCCCCCCCCCAAGGCGAGGCCGAGGGCGCCCGGTCCGCGGCCAGGGGCCCCCCCGGCGGCGCCCTCGCCTGCGGGGGGGCGAAGCCTTTCGCCCAGCAACGCGCTGCCCGCCGCCGAGCGGCGCGCACAGAGGGTCGAAGAGCGACCTTCGGCCGGTCCTCCTCCTCCCCCCCCCCGTCCTCTTCCTCCCCCTCCCCCTCCTGCCCCCCCCCCCCCCTCCTCCTCCGCCCCCCTCCGCAGCCATTTTGGCTCAAGGCCAAATGGCGCCCCGCTCACTGCCTTCGCGGGGCAGGCCCCCAAGCGACCCGGCACCCAGACGCTTGCCGCCGCAATCGCGGGCTCGCGGCCGCCCCTCCACATTCGCGCCCTCGCCGCGCAACCTGCTGACTACCGTCGCGTTGCGCTGCGCGGAGCTCTCCATAACCCCGGCACGTGGGCCAAGCGGCCACGTTCAGCGGCCGCCTCTTGGACCTGCGCCTCAGCCGCCACGCCCTGGACCAGAATCTCTGCAGGCGCTTGGCTTCCAGCGCCCGCGACCACTACGACCAGCTACTTCGACATCAAGTCGGCTGCCTCCTCAGACCGAAGCCAGTCTGCATCGAGCGGGCCCGCGCCCCGCATCAGACGCGAAGACCGCCAGCATCGCCGCGACGAGCCTCGCCGCCCCGAACGCGGCGACGACCGCCAACCCCGCCGCGAAGAGCCTCGCCGCGACGGTCGACGCGCAGCTCGCGAACATCCCGGACAGCTTGGCCACGCGGGTTACAGTTGCCAGTGCCCCGCGGGCGCCGCCTCACGCGCCACTGGCCGAAGCTCTGCGAAACTGCCGCCAACCTCAGCGCGATCTGCAGCCAGATCAGGGGGCCGCGCCGCTGCCGAAGCCGCCCCCGTGGCCATGGGAGATGAAGATATGCCGCCGCCTGGTCATCCTCCTGCTGGCCCGCCCCCGGGCGCTGCCGACCCCTGGGCCAACGGCAGGTTCGGCTCACAGCTCGCGCGCGACATCGAGCTGGCACCTACCTGTCCATCTCGAGAGCTTGACGCCGCAGCCGCCGCACAAACCGCGCCAGCTCCTGGACTCGCCGCACATCGTCCAGAGCAGCATCCTACACTTGCTGAGCGAAATGAGCCGCTTCCTGGAATTCCCGAAGATCTTCGCGTCGCCCATTGTGAACTTTTGCAACGGCCAGTCGCTACAGCCGCTACCCGCTTTCAAGCTCAAGCCGACCAGCCACTCGCCGAATCTCTCGAAAGTTTCAGACACCTCGTTCAACAACAAGTCACCGCTACCGAACGCAGAGTTGACGTTCTACACGACGAAGTTGCCCGCACCCGCAGAGAAATAGAGCGCCAAGCTGCTGGCCACCAACGCATGCGGCAACAGATCGACCAGATGCGCGACACGCGCGCCCTCGCCGAAGCCCAGACGCCGATCACCGACCTCAGCCGCCTTGCCGAACGGGACAAACAGCCCGACCCGACGCCCTCTGCGATCGGAAGCCAACGTCTCATCGCGCCAGACCTGCTGCTCAACGACCTCCAGGAGTGGATGGCCGCCGCCAACTTAGAGCAACGCCATGTCGAACTTCGCGGCGACGAACCTGCTCGCCGTTTCATAGTACAAGTCAAAGGAGATAAGGCTGTCGCAGTACCCCGCGCCCTCGCCTTAGCACGTGCCCTCCGAGACGCCGCTGGGAAGCGAAAAAGGTTTACATCGACAGACGCTACTGGGCAGCGCTGCGACATGCACCTCAACCCCGACAAGTCGTCCAAGCAGACCCGTACCGAAGCTCAAACAAAGAAACTACTCCAGCTCATGCAGCAACGATACCCAAGAACGAGATGGAGAGCGTTCAGGAGCACAGGCGAAAAACACGCTGACTCAATGCCCAGTGTCAAAATTGTTGTCAGAGGTCAAGCCGATCCGTCCATGATCCAGTGGAGCGACCAGGCCGCCGACCACCCGCAGTTCCAGCACATCGATCGCGGCGACATCGTCACTTCCTCCCAGGCGCTCTTTGCTGACACGGAGACGGCCGCGTGACGCTCCTGACCATCATTGGGCTCCGTGGAGGGTTGGCGACACCACCGAGCCGACCACGATCGCCACGTGGAACGCCAGAGCCCTCATGCGCTACAAGAGCCAGCGCCGACGTCACGAGCCGGCCGCCCTTACGAAGTATATGAAGCGCCAGCGCGTCATCACAGTGCAGGAGGTCCACGGCTCGGAGGCTCTGCTCCGCACCTGGGTCGACACGCAGCCGTACCCCTACAAGCTCTTCTTCTCTGAGTTCTCGCACGACGACGGCGACAACCCGAATGCCACGGGCGGCGTCGCCACGCTCACCCCCTGGTTTGCCCCCATGGATCTCGAGCAGCTGCAGCCGAAGCAGCTCCCGCTATTCGCTCATGAAGAACACGTTCCTGGTCGCGTCCAGCTGGTAGCCGTCGCGCACGCCGTCACGCATGCCACCTTGGTCCTTATGAACGCGCACAATCACGAGGTCGCCGACGCCGACCGCCGCGAGGTCCAGCTGGCCTGGGAGCTGCATCGCACTTGAGCGGAAGCTAACTACTGCATGCGCACCTTCATCGCGGGACTTCAACGTAGCCAGCCGCCCGCAGTCGCAACCGCAGCGCGCCAGGTTTGCGCTGGAGAGCAGCATGCGCCAGCAGCAGCCCTTCTGGAAGCCCCTCTTCGACTCCATGCTTGAGATCGAAACTGAGCTCCCCACGCGCTTCAACCGCTCGGACATCACCGCCGCGACCATCGACCGCATCTTCATCAGCCTGCCCGCGCACGCCACCCAGGAGCTCTCGATCCACGCGAACGCGGTGCACGACGCCGCGCTGCTCTTGGATAATCGCCTGAGCGACCACGCCATCATCACTTTCCCCATCGGCACCAAGCCGCGCACCCCGAAGGACGGAAGGCCATCCACCCCTCGATCTTCCGCGACCCGAATTACGCCATCTATTTCCAAAAGCTCCTGGACGCCACCAACTTCGACAACGTCTCGCTGGACAGCCGCTGGCGCACCCGCAAGCGCCTCATGACGGAGGCCGCCCAGCTGGTTCGCGACGATTAGGTCCGCCGGGCTACCGGCGACGCCAACAAGACAGGCTTCCAGGCCGACAGGGTCTACGCGATGCGCTCCACCTCGCGAGCCGTTCGGCGCCAAGACCTTCAACTGGCCCGCAGAGTTGCCTCCACGATCGAGCTCGGCGCCAAGTTCGTCAACATCTCCGACGACATCATCGCGATCGACGAGTCTGCCGTCTTCGCCAGCCTCGCTTCGCAGCTGAACCGCGACTTCGAGGCACGGCTACTCTCTCTCGCGCAGCAAGCCGCACAGCGCCCTCAGGGGCACGCTGGCGCCCTGGACCGCGAGAACCTCCGTGAGGCCCTTCGGGCCGCCCTGCGTCGGGCTCTCCCCTGGCCCCCCTGGAAGCGCCGTCTCGCCCTCCAGACGGGCCCAGACGGGCCCAAGATAGCGAGCGAGAGAGAGAGAGAGAGAGAGAGAGAGAGAGAGAGAGAGAGAGAGAGAGAGAGAGATGGAGAGAGATAGAGAGAGAGAGAGAGAGAGAGAGAGAGAGAGCGGCTCGATGGCCACCGCCCTGCGCGACCATTGGCAGCCAATCTTCGCCGCCAAGCCCGTCGACGAGACCAAGGTCACCAATTGCATCCACACGCGCGCGCCGAAAGGCGAAATCCTGGACATTGGGGCCCCCGCGAAGCCGCAGATCAAGGCCTTCCTGCAGCGCACTTCTTCCTCAGCACCAGGACCCGACTGCTTGCCGCATTCCGCCTGGCTCGCGCACGATGCCTCGCTGACCCCCCTGGAGGACGCGTCCTTCTTCCTCTGCTCTGGCCAGCACTACATCCGCGACTTGAACGGTTCCGGTTTCGCCTTCCCGCCGAAGGGCGACAACACCGCTGGCGAACTCACGACATACCGAGCTCCTGAAGATACCCGACCGCTCTCGCTGAAGAACACTGACATCCATGCCATCGCCGAGGCAGCCAACTACCTCATCAAGGGCGCCGTGGCAGGGCGCGCCCACATAGCACAACAGGGCTTCGTGCAGAAGCGCAACTTCACCAAGCACATCGTTCGCTTCGACTCTGCGATGCGGCGCGCAGGTTTACTCCCGTGAGCTCTTCAAGCCAAGCCCGTCTTCGCGAGCTTCGACTTCTCTGCCGCCTTCCCGTCCTTGGGGCGGGTGTGGCTCTTCGCCGCGCCGGAGCATTTCGGGATCCCGACTGGCCTCATGAACCTCCTCCACTCGCTGTACTTTGCGCCGAACAGCTACATCAAGATCGACGGCGTCAGGCACACCATGTTCGCCGTAGAGTCTGGAGTTGCGCAGGGCTGTCCTGCTTCGGGCTCGGTCTGCGCCATGGACCCGCTCATCCGCCACCTCGCCACGTTTGTGGAGCACCACGACGGCGCGCCGAATCTGGACGCCGGCTACCGCGGCGCCTGCGCGGACGACATCGGGCTGCTGACATGCTCCTTCGACGCGCTGCACCGCGCATCTGAGCCCTTTGCCGCAGCCGAGGAGCTTGCTCTCCTCTCGCTTAAGCCTCGCAAGTGTTTCATCGTTCAGCTCCGGGCCGCGGCGACCCCAGACACCATTGCCCAAACCAAAACCCTTTTGGCCGAGCTCGGACCTACCTGGGGTGGTTTCCCGGTTGCGGGCTGCGCCAAATACCTCGGCACGTTCCTCGGCCCCGGGGCTTCGCTGGCTTCGCAGTGGCTCGCACCAGGGCAAGAATGATGGCAACGGGAAAAATCTTCTTCACCTAGTGCAGGGTGGCAGTGACGCCACAGCTCGCTTGCATAATACTTCAGTCCTGTCCACGCTCATCTATGTCGCCCAGTTCTTTCCGCTTCAGCCGTTGATCGTCCGCCGTGAACAGTACGTTTTCCATTAGATGCTTAGCCTGCCGCCGAACTCACTTCGCTAAGTCGATATCATAGCCATGGCGCGGTGGAGCCCGCCGCCTGTCCCACAGTCCGCTCAGGTCACATCTGTCGCTGCCGCTGCCCGCTTTGCTGCCGTCACTCTCGCGGGTGACTGGGAGCCGTTTGCCGATCGCCTCGCCGACACATCATGGGACGAAACCTCCTTTCAGAACGCGCCTTGCTGGCAGGCTGGCGCGTGGTCGCCCGCTTCCTGGTCGTCTCAGCGGTCCATCGCACAGCACTACCGCTCCCTCCTCGGAGCCCAGCCTCAAAAGCCGTTCGCCCGCCCAGCCGTCTCGGCCGCTTTGCACGCCGCTCGCCTCGAACAGCGCGAGGCCGCAGCTGCCGCCCCGCCGCGTCGCCCGAAACACCAGCGCACGTTCGCACGCAAGTTTGCAGAGCAAGCTTTCGCCTCGCCGTTTACCGTCACTCTGCTCAAACGCATCTTGGCCTGGGGCCTCCAGGCGCCGACGGCGCCAGGAGAGCTACAAAAGCGCAAGTCAGCGCTCACGGAATCGCTCGAAACGGTGCGCCCCAGCTGGCGCTGGGCCACCTTTAAGACACTCAGCGGCGGCTGGACTACCACTGGCCGCATGCACGTGCTCGCCCCAAAACAATGCGTTTTCGGGTGCGGGAGCCAGCCAGATTCATTTCCCCACTACCTCACCTGCCCCTCGCTTTCGAGGCTCCTCTGGTCCCCTGACCCTCCCCTCCTCCGCTCGACGCTCGCAGCCCGGGGCCTTGGGCCCGCAGCTGCGTGCCCGCCCGAGAATCAGAATCCGTTTTCGTTGCGTTCGACGGTTGAGCGTATCACCTTAGTGTTTCACATGTATAACAAAATGAAGCATCACGCTGACCCGAGCTCACGCCTTGCGGTGATGGCCGCAGCGAGCCGAGTTGCCAAAGCACTACTCTATAGGTGAGAGAGCTAGCGACGGGCGCTGCGGACGAACATCATTTGCCCTCGTCCCGCTTCGTGCCCGATTGCCCTCTTCTCGTCTCTTTCAGAGTACATTAACTCCTCCTCCCCCTCCTCCTTCTCCTCCTCCTCCTCCTCCGCCGCTTCCTCCTCCTCCTCCTCCTCCTCCTCCTCCTCCTCCTCCTCCTCCTCCTCCTCCTCCGCTTCCTCCTCCTCCTCCTCCTCCTCCTCCTCCTCCTCCTCCTCCTCCTCCTCCTCCTCCTCCTCCTCCTCCTCCTCCTCCTCCTCCTCCCCTCCTCCTCCTCCCTCCACCTCCCCCTCCTCCTCCTCCTCCTCTCCTCCTCCTTCTCCTCCTTCTCCTCCTCCTCCTCCTCCTCCTCCTCCTCCTCCTCCTCCTCCTCCTCCCTCCTCTTCCCCTCCTCCTCTCCTCTCCCCTCCTCCTCCTCTCCTCCTCCTCCTCCTCCTCCTCCGTCCTCCTCCCCCTCCTCCTCCCCTCCTTTTCCTCCCCCTCCTCCTCCTCCCCTCCCCTCCTCCTCCTCCTCCTCCTCCTCCTCCTCCTCCTCCTCCTCCTCCACAATTACTCAATATGAATATACTCTCCCTCTTCCCCTGATGGCGTCCGGGTGATGGCCGCGCACCCTCCGCGTACTGTTTTTTTACACACAGGATGCCCGGGAAATCCCGGGAAACGACTCTCGCTGAGGCGCCGGCGTCATTTTTTCCCAAAATGCTGCTCTCGTTGAGGCGCCGGCCTCATTTCTGCTCCCGAATCGTTCCGAATCGTGCTCCCGCTGCAGCGTGGGCCTCATTTTCGGATCGGTGTTTGGCCTCCGTCGTTCAGGATGGCGTTCTCGCCCCAGCGCGGGCCTTTTTCTCGCGCGCCCATCCGCCCGCCACCACCGCGCCGCACCGCCACCACCACCACCACCACCACCACCACCACCACCACCACCACCACCACCAACCACCAGCCACCACCACCACCACCAACCACCACCACCACCACCACCACCACCACCACCACCACCACCACCACCACCACCACCACCACCACCACCACGACAACCACGCACACACGCACGCACGCACGCACGTGCACCACCACCCACTACGCACGCGCGCGCGGAGCCACAGGTCCGCTACGACACGCGTCCGCGGATAGAGAAAATCAGCGCCATGGTAAGGGATGGGAGGGAGGGGTAGGACGTCAGATATGACGCGAGCGCACCTAGCTTGTCCTCCTCCTCCTCCTCCTCCTCCTCCTCCTCCTCCTCCTCCTCTTCCTCCTCCTCCTATACCTCCTCCTCTGGAGTTCCTGGGGTGTTCGGCTCGGCATCGGCGCCGGCGCGCCCGTGGTCGAAGGCTGGCCCAATCCGACATAGCCCCGCGCTCTTCCGCTCGAGCCCGCGTGATCAGAGCCGATCCCCCGCTCAGCCCTGCCGAGTCCGGCTTCAGTGCCTCCTAGTGGGGTTCAACAGTTTTCGATCGCTCCCCCTCCTCCTCCCTCCTCCTCCTCCTCCTCCTCCTCCTCCTCCTCCTCCTCCTCCTCCTCCTCCTTCTCCTTCTCATCCTCATCCTCCTCATCATCCTCATCATCCTCATCATCATTTCATCAGCATAATCATCAGCAGCATCATCATCATCGGGGCTCAACAGCTTTTGATCGCTTGATCGCTTTCGCGGAGAAATCCCCGAAGCTGCCTCCTAAAAGTGTCCCGGGGGGAGGAGCAGAACGCCGACCCCGGGCGCTTTCTGCTCTCGGAAGAGCGGGGGCAGCGCATGGGACCGGACCCTGGCTGCAGTCAAAGTCGATGGTAAGGATCGGTCACCTTCCCAAGGGGGGCCCTGCATCCTTGCCTCTACGGTCCACCCATAACCAATTCGATGGCCAGCCCCGCTCAAACAGCTTCGACGTTGGCGTCCAAGGGGCGTGCATCCTTGTCGCGCATCATTGCTATCAATGTTGATTGATATTGATGTGCAGGCCCAGTCTTACGCCTTTGATGCCTTAGGCTGTGGTTGCATGATCTCTTGGTGTTGGCTTAGGGAACGAAACATGACATAATCATAGAGACACGGAGGTCCGCGCCGATCCTTCAAAGGAGCCCAGCGCGGACCCAAGAAATCAACGCGGACCTCCGAGTAAACATGTTTATGCCATTCTTCGTTCCCCTAATACTCCTTTGATGCCTTAGGCTGTGGCTGCATGATCTGTTGACTGGAACCGGAAGCCGGAAGCGCGCCCGCGCGCCCAAGGAGATCACCCTGCGCCTCCGCCTGGGCGTGGCCGTCGTCAAGAGGGAGGCGGAGGGCCACGCGAGCGTTCTCTTCGCCGTCTCCTTCTCCCTTGCTCCTCTCCTTTCGCGCGCGCGGCAGCGCTCGCTGGGGGGGAGGAGGAGGAGGAGGAGGAGGAGGAGGAGGAGGAGGAGGAGGAGGAGGAGGAGGAGGAGGAGAGAGGAGGAGGAGGAGGAGGAGGAGGAGGAGGAGGATGAGGATGAGAGGAGGAGGAGGAGAGGAGGAGGAGGAGGAGGGGGGAGGAGGGAGGAGGGAGGTAGGAGGAGGAAGGAAGGAGGAGGGAGGATGGAGGAGGAGGAGGACGAGGAGGAGGAGGAGGAGGAGGAGGATAGGAGGAGGCGGAGGACAGAAGGAGAAGTGTGATGAGAAGGAGGGGATGAGGATTTGTGGAGACCACGGGCGACCAGCCACCGATTGCGAACCGGGACTCGGTCATGCGTGCTAGGAAGAAGAAGAAGTGCACAGGCAGGTGACGGACAGGTGCTGTATGGGACCCTTACAGGCAAGTAACAGATGGGGAAGGGAAAAACGCCACGGATTCGGCAACCTTCTGTCCCCCGCCCTCCGACGACTCGGTGTCTCGCGCCTCTGGCCGTGTCCCCTCCGGTGCTCTTGATCACCTCCCTGGGGCGAGCTTCTCGTATCCCGACGCGAGTCGTGTTTCGGCGGCGCGCCCAGGGGGGGCGAAGCCAGAGGGGGCGAGCCCTCCCAGAAGGCTCAGAAGGCCTCCCAGCATGACCCAAGCGCTCCGAGCAGCTGGAGGACGAGGCCCAGCGGGGGTGCTCCCCCTTGTTTCCTGGGGCCGGCGGGCTTTCGACTGCTGGTGTCACGTCCATTGGGTTCGGTCCTCCTCCGTCCCCTTCGCTGCAGCTGCCGCCTGCCGCCCGTTCCCGAATCCCCCCGCTGCCGCCTGACGCCTCCATCGCGCCCCACCGCGCCCGCTTCGCAGGTGGAGGACCACGACGAGCCCGCCGGCGCCCGCTGCGGTGCCCGGAAGGGCATGCCGAGAGCAGGGGGGGGGGGGGGGATGTGCGGGAAGAGAGGAGGGGGGAGCGCGAGGGCCAGGAGGAGAAGGAGGGGCTGTTGAGAGTGGGGGGGGGGAGGAAGAGGACGACGACGACGACGGCGGTGAGGGTGATGAGAACGGGAGGGATGACGAGGAGGGGGAGGAAGAGAAGGAGGACGACGCAAGCGAACACGAGAAGTAGGGGGCGGAGGATGAGGAGGAGTAAGAGGAACGAGGAGGAAGAGGCGGCGCTGCAGAGAAAAGAGGGGAAGAAGGAGAGGCGAGGGTGCGGGAGGTCGAGAGGCAAGGGAGAAGGGCAGGGGAGGGGCAGGGGGGCGAGGGGATGTTTCCTTTCGGTAAAGTGAATGTTGGCTTGAAGCAGGGGCCGGCGACGCGAGCCACTGGCTAAGGCTCGGAGGCACATGCACCGTAGAAGCCTGGGCCGAGAGGGGCCAGCGCGCGATTGCCATCTCGCTCTGGCCACACTCGGGGTGCTTGCACGGAAGGAAGCGGCGCAGCGGAGGGCGAGGGGAATGGGGAGGGATGTGCGGGGGAGGAGGGGACGGGCAAGGCGAAGCCGGGAGAGAGTCTGGGGGAGGAGGAGGAGGAGGAGAAGGAGGAGAAGGAGGAGGAGGAGGAGGAGGAGGAGGACGAGGAGGAGCAGCAGCAGGACAGAGAAGATTGAAAACGGGTGGGAAACGGGAGGGAAGGACGTCAGCCGGCATGGATGGTTGCACCAGGTGCATTTGTTGAACGCTCGCGCATATGTCACCAACGACCGTGGGCATGTCGCGTCAGATTTAGAGCAATTCCTTAGACTCACGACCACATTCGGGCACATGGACTCGTGTACGTGAAAGGACATAAGGCAGACCATGTGTCCCTGCACAGTATGGCCCCGATTGGAGGCTGGAATTGTGACACGTTCTATGAAGCCACACGGCAAGGAGTTCGTAGTTCTCCAAGTGAGCCTGACTGTATGAACTCGCAATATGATTCATGACTTGATCTGCAAGTAACCCCTTGCTTGTTTTTACCCTGTACAAGCTGTAGTCAACGGATTCCGACGGGCCTTCCAACTGGAGTCCCCTGGGTAGTCCCGTGGACCTCGATGGGTATTCCAAAAGATCCTCCTGGTATTCCAATGGATTCCAATGGGTTTCCCAATGGAATCTACGGCAACTCTAATGGATTCCTTTTATATTCTCCCCCGTATTACTGCGGACCCCAGAGTGCTCGCACTCGTAGCCCTGAACGGGGTGACAGGGGACGAGAGCGAGCGAGACTTCCCTACGTTCCGCGCTCGCCCAGATACGGGTCATGCGAATGATCGCACCAGTCCAGAGGAGGAGAGAGGACCCTCTCCTCGTCATCTGCACCTTTCTCATCTCACTGGCCCTCCTCTCTCCGCTCCTCCGTTTCGATTTCCCCGTCCTCTACGCTTTTCCATTCCAATTCCCATCATCCCCTCTTCCTTCCCCACGATATTCCGCTCCGGCTCCCGCTTCCTCATAGCCACCCCCCTCCCTCATGGTGCATTCTTCCTTTCCGCATCCACCCCATCTTATTTCCCTCCCCCCCTGCTCCTCTTTCTCGTTTCATCCCTCTCCCCCACCTCTCCCCATCATCATCCGCCACTGCCTCCTCCCACTCCCCCCCCGATGCTCCTCCTCCTCATACTCGTCTTCCTCCTCGCCTTTCTCCTAGTCCGCGTCCTCCTCCTCCTCCTCCTCCTCCTCCTCCTCCTCCTCCTCCTCCTCCTCCTCCTCCTCCTCCTCCTTCTCTCCCTCTTCCTCCTCCTCATCACCATCAGCAACAGCATCAGAATTATCATCACCAACAACATCATCATCATCAGCAACCTCCTCATCATCATCAGCAGCAGCATCATCATATTCCTCTCGCTTATCGGCGACGACGGACGTCAACCGAGTGCGACGACCGACCGACCGACCGACGGCCGACGACGCGCAGAGATGACCGACCGACGACGACGACGACCGACGGCAGACGACCGACAACAACGACCGACGACGACGACGACCAGCGACACTCGACGACGACGACCAGCGACACTCGACGACGACGACGACGACGACGACGACGACGACGACGACGACGACGACGACCTGCCGTCGCTGGCCGTCTGCGGGGCACCACCGAGCCCCTGCAGGCGTCGCGGAGCTGCCGGCGCCCGCGGGCGAGGGCCCGGAGCAGGCGCTGTGGCCGCCGCTGGGCCTCGTCGGCGGTCGCGGCCGCCGCGGCCGTCGCCGTCGCCACGCCGTCGCCGCCGTCGGGGGATCACCACCCACCAAACCACCCCAACCCAGCTAAAACGACACGAAGATCGGGACAAAATCGGATCGGGATAACTCGAAATCTCTGAGAATCGGCGGGTTGGGAGGATGTACTGGGCGCCGCGGCCGCTCCGGAGCGTTCCGGAACGCTCTCAGAGCGCTCCGGAACGCTCTGGAGCGATTTATCCCGATCCTAGCCCTGTTTTACCAGCCCGAAGACCTCAAGTTGCCCTCCATTTCCTTGGGGGGTGGTCGGGGAACATTAAAAACACACCCAGAACCCGTACCCCCCCCCCCCCAAACCCGGAATTCGGGTCAAAGTCGGGTCTTCGGGTTGGGTTGGGGTGGTCTGGTGGGCAGTCAGGGGAGGGGCACTGCGCGCCCTTGCAGAGCCCATGCCGATCCGATCGGTTCGGCTCGGTCTCGATCCCGGCCAGTTCGCTCCGATCCGAGTCCGATATTCCGACTCGAGCCGTTGCGTCCCTGTGGACGCCCGAAGTGTGTACGGAAAGAATGGGTACAATGCCCAGCAGCAGTTCCTGTTCATTCTGAGCAGGACTCGCTGTCGGCGTCGCCGCGGCCTGTGTCCATTCGAGACAGAAGGCCGCCTGCTCAACAGCGGCCGCTGTTAGTTTGGGACAACATTTGTTGTTGGGCATTGCACCCATTCTTTCCGTACCCATTTCGGGCGTCCAAAGTCCCGATCGTCTGAATTTCGTGGTTGCGCACCCGATCGTCTGAATTTCGTGGTTGCGCCTTCTTGCACGTGCGAGCCAGTTCGACGGCGGTTCCCGGCCGGTGTGGCCCGATCCTCGATTGCCTTTTGGTTCCCAGACATCCTCTCGGGCCAGGCGAAAGGGGGGGATTGGGAAAGGGGGGGCTACGAAATTTGCTGCATGCAGCTGGTTTCGGCCCCACCGAGGGGCCCATTCCTTGATACATAGTCGCCTCCGGCGCCGGGAGGCGCCGGGAAAATCAGCGTGAGCTGATTCTCAACCCCCCCCTTTGCTATCCCCCCCTTTCGCCCGACCCGATCCTCGAGTTTCGAACGATCGGGCGTTGAGAGAACCCCAAACCAGACAAGTCGACTGAGGAAATCTGCTCCTGTTCACTCGGCATCAGTGTTCGATTGTGCCAGTGCAGTCCCCACTCGGCTCCGCTCCGCTAACCGATGTGCGTCTCGTTGGTCACATTCGGTTGTGTTTGGACGTCGGTTGGCTACCCGGCTGGGGTACACTCGGGATGCGGTGCTTTGCGCACGTCGAGTGTCCCTGACGGCTTTCACTACAGGGCGGTTTGCTAAAGGGCATCCTGTCAATCTTCAAGACATAAACAAGACTAAGATGTTCTAATCGTTTTCAGCCTCTGGGGGCCTACAACAGGCCCCAGGACCGTCAAAAGACGATCCAGGATAAAAAGATAGCCCTGAAGAAAGGGTCGGGACTTTCAGGGGGGACCTGTATTGAAAGAATCGAGACGTTGGATCTCTGGGGTTCTTCTCGTACTCTCTCCGTTCCCTCCGCCTTTCTTCCTCACATCCTCCTCACCCCTCATGCCGTAGTCGGGGATCGTGGTTCGAAGTTTCTTGGCGTATCTGAACCTGTTCGGGCTTGAAATGTCGCCCTCGTCGCCACGGCGGGCTCCGCTTTGAGATCCTGGTCAGGATGCGCTTCAGGAGAGATCGGGTCGGTCGTCGTCGACCGTCGTCCACCGTCGTCGTCGGTGTCGTCGACGTCCGCCATCGTTGTTCGTCGTCCTCGTCGCCGTCGTCGTCCGCCTGCTCCTTGTCGTGCTTCCTCATTCTCTTCGTCTTCATGTTCTTCCCTTTCCCATCCTCGCCCTTCTGTCCCTTATCACCTGTCTCGTGCTGCTCCTCTGCACCCCGCGCGGGAAGGGAGCGGAGAGGGGAGCAGGGGGAGGGGAGAGGCGAGGAGGAGAGGGGGAGGCGGGTGAAGAGGGGGGAGGGGGGAGGAGAGGAGGAGAGGAGGAGCAGGGGGAGGGGAGAGGAGAGGAGGAGAGGAGGAGAGCAGAGGAGGAGAGGAGGCGCAGGGGGAGAGGAGAGGAGAGGAGGAGAGGAGGAAACGAGAGGAGGAGGGAGACGAGGGTGGTGGGTGGGCAGACCCAGGGATGGCTGTTGCCTGCTGCGTGCATCCGCCGTCCCTGGAGGGCCGGCGCAGAGAGTCGGAGGGACGCGCCGGACCCCATTGACCGCGCGTGTCTGGGCAGCTTTTGGTCCACGGAGGAGGTGGAGGAGGAGGAGGAG